TTACTTTATTGCTAGTATTTAGAACCCTTAGGAAGTGACTACTTCTCTAAGATACCTTCCAGATGTAGCTGGTTTTGGGCTTTTGAGTTTGTTGCAAGAACATGTATCTTCAATTTGTTAGAGGTGAAAAGTTGCTGCTTGTTTGGCCCAGTCCCTGGTTCATTAGCACTGTATCACAGTATTTTCTATGACATTTAGTCAATCTCAGTCTTGGAATATCAGGAAGAAAAGCTGTTTAGATCAATTATATCACTTTTACCTGAAGTGTTACCATCAGCATTAACAATAACAGCAAATACAGCCTAGAAAGTTACAAACTGATGTAACTATTAATTTTCCACCTTTAACCATAGGATTTAATTTGTAGTTATGTAACAAAATCTAAAATAGACCAAGAAATTATATACAGTACATAAATCCTTAATATGTCAATTTTGCCCTGAGGAGTTAAAAATCTAAAAAGTTAGGAAAACAATGGAGAAGTAGAAAAACGGGGGAATCATGCTAAGTTTGTGAAACTGGTGCAGAAGACAAGAAGGAAAGACAGAAGGACAAGATAAAAAGAACAGAACTACACAACAATCAAAGAGTCTGGAAACCATGTTCACATTCAAGATCAAACAATGAAGGGAGAAAATGACAACAAGAAGAAACAGAGAGAGAGAGAGAGAGAGAGAGAGAGAGAGAGATCCACTTTCAGGTTTGTCTCTGTCACTGGTAGATAACATGTGGAGAGAGAGCCCTGATTTGTGTTGGTTTATCCCAACAAGCAAGTGGTAGCTTTTTGGTGGAACAGTTGGTAATTTCAGCAAGCCTTCACCTTCTGCCTGTGACCAGATTCATTCTGTTTGCAGCTATCAGTGCAACTTCTGCAGACCTAACCCCGCTGGGAGCCGCTAGATGGAGCCAGCAGCCTCTTAGAGTTCTAAATTCAGTTGGCCCCTCTCCAAGATGGCACGTGGCCAGTTGCTGTCTCACATGGGATGACTAAGCCCTTAGCTCACACCACCAGCTAGTGCAGCCCTTCACATCCACTGCTCCCCTCCACTGCTGCATGCTTCTGTGGAGCCCTCAGGGGTTGCCAGCAGTCACCTTGTGTCTGCAGAAATTGCTCCTCTTGCACAGTGAGTCCCATCTCAGAGAGTAGGTGCCAATAGCTACCTCCTTCCTCCTTTACTCTCTCTATGGACTTCAATTAGTGTCTCAGAACCTCTCTGGGTCCAGGGTACCCACTTC